AATGTTAGATACTGGTCAATAGATCTATCAATTAACATTAATTATGCTTAAATACTGGGTTTGAATAATATGTAAATACAAATGAAGTCAGAGATCGACAGAAACTTAACCTTTACTAACAGTCTGTAATAGATACTGTCTTATGTCTTCAAATTCAGAGGCCCTTATATAAGTAAAGAAATGATTAACTAATAATTAATAGATTTGGATTAATCGTAAGAAGGCATAATACTTAAGGTAATAATAGACTGCATTGTATATCACAGTACCTTTCAAATTGAATCATCACTAGGATTAGAGGTTAGATCTAATTCCCAGATAAATTTAATGCTATAGGTATAAAACTACTATCTATATAAAGAATCTGATCCTACGATCTCAGTAGTTATCAATATGGTAAAACTTTATAAATTAGATTAGTAAAAATAGGGCCTGACAAGCTTTATAGTTGAAGTGAGCCTTTTATCTAAAGGTAATAATACTTAATAAGGTCTAGTAAACTTTGTGATAAGGGATTAAAATGTTACAAGGTAGTCTATACTAGGTAGTAATCATACAGAAATGTGCTTCAAGGTAGGTTATTGTATCTCTTAAGAGATTGAAGACTTAGAGAGGTAACCTAACATGAGATCAAACTTATTCTACTAAGAATATACCCTCTGCTTACCTCTAACCACCATATATTAATAATAAAAAAAAATTTGTCAAGATATCCTTTAAGATTTAAGCTTTAAAATAAATATAAACTCATGTTTCTAACATTTGTAGTTAATGAGTTATGACTATTCAAAGGTAACTAATCACACTTGCATTTCTTTTGGTAGCCACTGTATATAAATATTAAATTAATATAATTTCTTTTTGATAATAGAAATTAAAAAATGTAATATATTATTTAATTTAAGAGTAACTCAGTTTCTATTTTCTTTTTTTATTGATTTTATATATCTTATTTATAAAAATATTGCTAATTGTATATTTAAATTTTTTATTAGAAAATTCTTTTTAAATAATAGTACTTAAGATAATGATAATTATTTTCTTGATAAATTTATATAAAAAAAGATAAATTAAAAATGAATTATATTCGTAAAATAATTCTGGTCTATATCAGATGACTATTATACAATATTATAATAAATATAATATTAAATATTAAAGAATAGGCTAATAAAAATATTATATTCTTTACCCTTTTTAAAAGAATAAATACTAATAAGATATTATAAAGAATAACTTAATTTTATTAAATTTATTTGATTATGTTAAAAATTAATATTATTTATATAAGATATAAAAATATATAATCTTTATTTTAGATTTTTTATAATTTTTATAAAAGATAAAAGAATAATTTTAAATAATTGATTTGATTATATTCTAATTATATTATATATTTAGTTAATATAATTAAAAATATAAGTTTATATTAGATTATTTAAGCATTTAAAAATCTCTTATATAACTCAAATTTTTTTTAATGAAGTGATACTATTATAAATTTTATTATAAAGATTATTAATAATGAAATAAAAGTAAAAACAATAAAAATAAACTACAACTATCTTTTATAACTATATTATAAATCTATTATTTAGAGTTTGTAGAATTATATGTAAATTCTAAAAAGAATTACATATTACAGAATTTTTAAAATTCATTATCTTATATATTCTGAATATTAATTTAACTAGTAATTAGATTTTAATGATCTTAGATTTATTAAAATTGTTTTGATAAGAGAAAGTTAATAATATATTTCTAATATTAATATTAATTAATTATTATATAATAATACATTTTAATATACATTATTTATAAGTTAAAAAAGAAATGTTTAAAATTCTGCTACTTAATTATTTTAATAGAATAAATATATGAATACTCATTCTTATAATTTGATTATAATTCCATCTTTATAAAAATATAATTAATAATATATATATATAAAATAGTTTAATTATTTACGATTTTATTAATCTATATATATAAAAATTTATTCTTTAATAGAATAAACATTTTAAAAGATATATTATATTTTTTAATTTAAAATAAATAAAGAATTTATTTTTCATTAAGAAAGTACAACCTTAATCAATTAGAACTGAAGAAAATAAAAGATTTTTTATAAATTACAAATTGAAAACTTAAGATTAATATTATCTTTATTTATTTAATTTTAATTATAGTATATTTAATTTTTCTTTATAAACTTTTAGAAAATAACACAAAATATAAAGGTTTATATATAAAAAATAAATATTATATTAGTTTAAAAGGAATTAAGAAAAATTAAAATTAATTTAAACTGATTAATTAGTCATGATATATATTTATAATAATTTTAAAAAGTCATAATACTGAATCAATTTGCACTAATTATTATAAAAGTAGATAAATAGACTACTTTTTTAAAAAACCTTTTGTAAAAATTTTATAAAAATATTGAATACTATTTAGCTTATAAATTTAATAGAAAATCTATATATTAATATATAAGAAGTAATTAGTAAAAAAGAAAGAAATCCATTTTTTAGTCAAAAATTTTTTTATTGATTTATTTTACCAATTATGATCGTATAAATAAAACTAGTTTAATAACTAAAATTACTCAAATTTATAGATTTCACCTTTTTTATTGACTATTTTCATATATTTAATGAGTTATTAATATTAAAAAAGATTATATAGATCTTTTGTTATTCTTAGAATTTGGTACACATAAATTATTGATACTTTTACAATTAATTATTATATAGGATTTTTAAATTTTACTGAAATATATATATAATAGATAAAGCATTTAAAGAAAACTTAGATTTTTCATATTTAGGAATAAATTTTTAAATAATTATTGTATATTTCATATTATTATAAATTTATAAATATTTTTTTTATATAATAATATATGCTAATTACAAAATATACATGATTTATATATATTAAAAAATTAATATAATATTTATTATATATTTTATGAATCTTAAAACTTTAATTTTAAAATTATTATTAATTCTTTCACTAGATTTTCTAATTCTTTATGCTTTATAAACAAATAATATATATATTGTAAAGGTTTTAAAAAAATTTTAAATTTTAAAAATGTTTTTTATTATAAACACAAAAATTAGAACTAAGTATACTATTTTATAAAAAATATAATAGTTTATTAGTAAATCTAAGAATAAAAAATTAAGCATATATTATAAATAAATATATTTTATTTATATACAGTAATACTATTATTAAAAAGCTGCTTATTATAATAATACTAAGTTATTTGAAACTGATTTTTATAATGAAGTAGAATATAAATAATGAATAAATTATAATAAAATGAATAATCTATTATCTGTGATTACTGATCTATTATCTAAAGTAATTAAGTTACTATTCTAAAGAAATTATTTTTAACAAAAAGTTACTTATATAAAGGCAGTCAGTAGAAAAGAGGAAATTTACTTTTTAGTTAAAAATTTTTTATTTGTTTACTTTACTGATTATGATCTGTGAATAAAATTAGCTTAATAACTAAATTACTTAAAATTTGTAAATTTTTCCCTTTTCTATTGATCACTTCCTATATATAAATTGGCAAAATATCTTTAAAAAAAAATTCTGATTAAGTTCTTAATTTATTATCAGATTAAAATGATTAAAATAAATATTTTGAAAACAATGATTAAAAATTGATTTTAAAGATTCTGAAAATAAGATGATTATAAGAAAGTTAATTATATATCATTAGATTTTGATAATGATGAGCTTAAACTTTTTAATATTGATACTAATTATATTTATATTTGAATTATTTTATAAATATTGCAAAATCAGCAATAATATAAATTTTTTAATATTATAACAAACTTTTTATTTAAAAATTTAAGCTTTTTTTTTTTAATAATAAATACAAATAAATTTTCATCTTTTTTTTTTTTTTTATATATAACAAAAAAATGTTTGAAATATCTACAGAATTTTTCAGTAAACTATCTATAATAAATATCACAAATTGTATAATATTAATGAAATATTAAATAAAGCTGAAATACTGATTTGTAATTTTATGAATATTCAAACTATAGTATAGAACAATTTTGATAAATATGTAATAATTCTTTAATAAAAAAAATAGATGATAACATTGATAACATTTTTATTAGTAAATATTAGGTAATAATTAACCTTTTTTTAGTTATAAAGATTTTGAGATATTATGTTAAAGTAAGCAGAAAAAAAAATGAAAATAAATCATTTATATATGATCTAAAAAGGATTTAAAGTTAAAGATAATAATGCTAAACCCTTTTTTGGGTTATAATAAACATGGATTAGCTTTAACTATTCATAAATTCATAATATTCTGTTAGCGTTATTTATGCTAATATTGTAATTTACCATATTTGTTAACATTATCAACATTTATCATAATTCACTAATCACATGATTTTCGGCAATGACTTTCCACCTTTCCTCTAACAATTAATTATTCTTTGAAAGGATCTTCACATGATGTTATCAACTGAGTCCTTTGACAAATTCATCTAATCTCCTATTCCACTCGTCCAATTATTCAATAAATCTTATTCCACATTCCCGAACAAGGGGTATAATCTAATTCTAAAGTTTTTAAAAGCATTACCATTAGGACGAGAAACTTTTGTAAAACGGCCATCAAAATATAGAACTTCATTTTTCTTGACGAGTTAATTTATAAAATCATTTATCTTCTCTATCTTTGATTAATTTGATAAAATGGATGGTGATGATGATGGCGTTGTTGTCCATGGACAAGAGCTTCAGTAATCAGGCGATCTGATTTAAAACAATATCGATATAAATTGATTTTTTTTTTTTTGTTTTACTTTAATTTGTAACAAATAAATAATGATAACCTATCGACTTTACCGATAAAGTACAACGAGTTTTTTCTTACGGAACCGATCTGATATCAACAAAAAGATGAGATCTTAAAACTAATACAATTCGTGCCTTATTTGCTTGAAATTCAGATGTAAAAAAAAAGAATGCTCACAAAAAAAAAAATAATAAATTTTAAAAATAAAATAAGCTTTATATGGCACTTTTTTTTATTTTCGGCATTAATATTATATTACCCTTGAAAATTCGAATCGAATCCGGGATAAACAATAATCGGTCGAGTCGAATCCGAGTGAACAATGATCGGTCGAGTCGAATTCAGGTTCTGTAATTTATTAGTGGATTCGAGTTCGAAATGTCTTAAACCCGACCCGACCGACCCTTACGGAATAAATAAATACTCTAAAGGAACGACGAATAAAAATATTCGAATATAAAAAAAGGAGGAAAGAGATATATCAAAAAATAATAACGAAGAAATTTTATAAATAAATAAAGAAGAAACTAAATCTTATGGTTTCTTTCTTTTTTTTTTTTTTTTAAACATTCTTGATTGAATTTTAAGAAAGGCATACGGAAATATACTTTTTAAGAAACGTTCTAGAGGTATTTTAATAATGCCTTAAATGTACAAAATGTTGTACAACAATGGGGATGGCATAAAATAATTTTTTTTTTTTAGCAGATGTTAACTTTACTTCGCACAAACTATCCATATATAAAAAAACAATTGTTTTTGTGTAAATAATCAAAATCAATTTTCTTCTGTTTCGAAAATCTCATAGAACAACGGTGTTACAAACTATATATAGTAGGTCCAAAAATATAAACGATTATCACAATTAAAGGTTTTTTTCTTTTTAAACGACGACGTTTTTAAACTTTGTACTATTGATTAAAGGAAATTCAATGATATACAAATTAAGCTGTTTTGCCATTTTAATTTTCTTAATAAATCACTCTTAAATTTTAAAATATATTAAGTCCAAGCAACAAGACTTTTACCTATTCTAGGCCATTAATAATATGGTAAACGCTCAAAACTATATAGAAAGAAAATTTCCTAAAGATATTAAACGAAATCATTGCTATCGAGTCGAGTCAATTAGCAGGACATTTAGATTTATCTGAATATCTTAATTTGACCTGTGTAGACATTGGATGCAACTCTCGATTAACAAGTTTACAACTTGCTCACTCGAGCGAAATTACATTTATTGGCATATTTGATACCATACCAGCATTGATAATTTTCTTTTTTGGCTTATACGCCTAACATCCATTCAATTAGTTTACCTCAAACAGGAGACAGAATTGGCGAGCTTACCGGCGATGTCTATTTTTTTTAAAGCACTCCGAGAAAGCTGCCAAGAGAATTACAAATTGCAAACCAGTCTAAGGCAATCGATAGGAAAATCCAAACTCAACTAGATCAATAAATAAAAAATTTGTGACAATAACCAACGAACTAAAGAGTTAGAGCAACAGTTAGCTATTGTCCAACAGGAAAATCAAGATTTACAAAGCCAAATAAACGAATTGTCCAATATAGCCTTTCCTGATAGTCCTCCGTATCATTTCACTAAACCTAAACAAAACTTTATCCGACTTTAAGTCCAAGAATAGCGCCACAAGTAAGAAATGAAGGCACGAAGGTGGTTCAGTTAATTACGGAAGCAAAAGACAAAGCGGGCAAATTTTCTTCCATAGTTGATTTAATCTTAGAAACCCAAAAGCAAATCGTGCAAAACAGCGAAACTTCTCAGAGTGAAGTATTTTTTGGCAAATTGAAAGCTTACCGAACCATTCTTGCAAGTGTTTTGGCTGAAGAAGAGCTCCAAACCCTCTTAAACAAACAAAAAGAATTCCTAGAAATAGAAAAGCACTGAAAAAGTTTACAAATCAGGCAGCAATTCAATTGTAAACTCTTTGTGTCATATGACTTTTTTAGCAAATGACTTCCACTTCAAACAACATGAGCCTTCATTCTCTCTTATTCCACATTTTTATGACGAATGGTGGTTTATAATAATAATATTTTTTTAAAAAAGAAAAAAGAAAAAAAAAAGTATTTAATACAAAAAAAACTCTAATACAAGATCAAACCCTTACTCCTCAACCTGTCATGAAATTTTTAAAATTTTTATTTAACAAATCCATGTAACCAATTAAAAGGCAGTTGCCGGTTTGTGACACTCGGCTGTGTCAGTTCTTTATCATTCAGAACATTAAGTAGAAGTGCTTGATTTTGACTAGAAAAGTGTCACAACATTATAAGTTGTTTTATTTATCGTGCAGGAATATTTTCTTATAAGATAATGGATTATCATTTTTTTTTTTAAATAAAAAAAAAAATTTGGGGTCCTGCCCTCAATATTAAAAATTTCAATTTATTACTTCAAATATAATCAATCTATTTGAAAAAAGTTAAGATATTATGACGTAACTATTAGTGAATAAAGCAAAAAAAAAAAATCCATTTGTAAAGAAACAATTTCTGTATTAATTTATTTAAGATTATCATCTCCAACATCATAATAGTCCGGAATATAATAATAGATTATTTAAACTTTCTTTGGCCTCTTGACATCCATTTTCTATGGCTTTCTTATACCAATAAATAGCATTGACTAAATTTTTGTCTACTCCTTCGCCCCGTTCATATAAATATGCAAGACGTTTTTGTGCATCACAACTTCCTTCCTTAGCTACTATCTTGTACATGTCAAATGCTCTTTCTTTATCAACGTCGTTTATAATTCCGTTATCGTAATAAAATCCAACTTTGTATTGAGCTTCTAGGCATCCTTGATTAGCCGATTTCCTATAAAATTCAAATGCTCTAACTAAATTCTTACATACACCTTTTCCTAATTCGTAAACTTCACCTAATTTGTATAATGCAAATTTGTCATTTTCCGCAACTTTATGATACCAATAATTAATATTATCTAAATCATTCACCATTATATCAGATATACCTTTTTTAGCAGCCTCATCATATAAATTGAATCCTATTTCTTTATTAATCTCTGTTCCAATTCCATTCACGTAACAATATCCGAGGTAAAATTTTGCATCTACCAAGCCACTTTCAGCTGACATTTTATAATACTCAAAAGCCTTTAATTCATCTTTTTTAACACCGTTTCCAAATTCATAATGTTCACCCAAATTAAACTGTCCAATATTATTTCCATTGTCTGCCGATCTTTGACTCCAATAAAAGCTCATTTCCAAATCCCTTTTTATTTCATCCCCCTTTTCATATAATATAGTGAGCATATTTTGTGCATCAATATTATCATTTTCTGCTGCTTTTTGATACCAATAAAAGGCTTTTTTTAAATCCTTTTCAGTTCCTATTCCATCTTGATAACATAAAGCTAAATCATTCATTGCAATTATATTATCATTTTCTGCTGCTTTTTGATACCAATAAAAGGCTTTTTCTAAATCTTCTTCAATTCCTATATTATAATTATAACATAAGGCTAAATTATTCATTGCAATTACAATATCATTTTCTGCTGCTTTTTGATACCAACAAAAAGCTTTTTCTAAATCCTTTTCAGTTCCTATTCCATTTTGATAACATAAAGCTAAATCATTTATTGCAACTATATTATTATTTTCTACTGCTTTTTGATACCAATAAAATGCTTTTTCTAGATCTTTTTCAGTTCCTTTTTCATAATGATAGTATAAAGCTAAATTATTCATTGCAACTACATCATTATTTTCTACTGCTTTTTGATACCAATAAAAGGCTTTTTCTAGATCCTTTTCAGTTCCTTTTCCATATTGATAACATAAAGCTAAATCATTTATTGTAACTATATTATTATTTTCTACTGCTTTTTGATACCAATAAAAAGCTTTTTCTAGATCTTTTTCAGTTCCTTTTCCATAATGATAACATAAAGCTAAATTATTCATTGCAACTATATCATTATTTTCTACTGCTTTTTGATACCAATAAAAGGCTTTTTCTAAATCCTTTTCAGTTCCTCTTCCAAAATGATAACATAAAGCTAACTCATTCATTGCAATTACATTATCATTTTCTGCTGCTTTTTCATACCAATAAAAGGCTTTTCCTAAATCCTTTTCTATCTCTTCACCCTTTTCATATAATATTGCAAGATTATATTGTGCACCAATATTTCCCTTTTTTGCTGCTTTTTGATACCAATAAAAAGCTTTTACTAAATCCTTTTTTGTACCTTCACCCTGATTATATGAATAACCAAGCAAAGCTTGTGCTCTTTCATGTCCTTTTTCAGCTAAATCTTTACATATTTTAAATGCTTCTTTTTTATTAGAATTAGTCCCAATTCCAAAATAATAGCAAATTCCAAGCTTATATTTTCCATTAATAAATTCTTTTTCATTAAATTTCTTATATATTTCAAATGATTTGATTTCATTTTTTTCTATACCTATTCCTAATTCATAGCATCTGCCTAAATAAAATAATCCACACAAATTTCCATTATTAG